AATTTCACCATCAGATTTGAGGGACAATTTTGCCAGGTATATAATTCTTGGTTGAAAATTTTTCTCTTTCAGGGTTTTATATATACCATCCCATTGTCTTCTCACTTGCATGGTTTCTGCTGAGACATCAGAGCTTATTCATATTGGTTGACCTTTGTAAGTAACTTTTTGTTTTTCCCATACTGCTTTCAAGATTCTTCCTTTGTCTTTGGTTTTGATGAGTTTAATGATGATATGTCTTGGTGATTTTCTTTTGGGGTCTATCCTGTTTGGGATTCGCTGGACTTCCTGAATGGATACATTCTCATATTTCATCATATCAGGGAAGTTCTCCTCCAACAAATCTTGGACAACTTTCTCAGTGGTTTTATTTTTCTCTTCCTGTTCTGGAATTCCAATGACACGTAGGTTATTCTTTTTGATGGTATCCCACGTGAACCTTAGGCTTTCTTCATTTTGTTTTGACCTTTTTTCTGATTGATCCCTTTCCACAGAAGTATTCAGGTATCTGTCTCCAATCTCATTAGTTTTGTCTTCCATTGCATCAATTCTACACCTTTATCCTTTCAATGTGTTATCTATTTCTGACAAATTGGTATTAATCTTCTGGATTTCTATCTGTAGATTTAGAATCATTTCTAATTTTTCATGTATTTTGTCATTTTGTTCTTATATTTTCTTCCAAAATTCTTCTAGGGATTTGTCAGTGTTTTCCTTGATCTGTCTCTCAATGCTTTGAAGATACCTAAATATAATTCTTTTGAATTCTTTATCAGGGAGTTCCAATGCTGTTTCTTCCTCAAAGATGTGTTCTGGGTCTGTATCCTGCTCCCTTGTTTCTACCACTTTATCTTGCTTCTTTGTGTCTGTTGTCTCCAAGGCATCGTGGCATTGTTGTATTTAGATCTCTGTTAACTGTTTGTGAAGAGCAGCTAAGGGTGAGTCAGGCTCTTCTTGGTGGTTGTTTATTGCAGGCCTGTTGGTAGAGAAGGAGGTGGTGACTCTCATTCAGTAAGTGAAGCTGCAGGAGGTGTGAGTTTAGTTATGTTGTATACGGACTGTTGCTGTCTCCCACTCAGTTAGACAAAAATAACAATTGAATAACCATCAAAAAAGTAAAAGCAAATAGACTAAAAACACACTGTGTAACCACACAGGAATAGTGACAAAGAAAGAGAAAAAGGGGAAAAAATCACAATATCTGGGGAGAGGACAATACGAGGAAAAATGGAAAGAAGAAGAAGAATGAAGAAAAAAATGGGAAAAATGCAAAAAGAAAAACAAGGAATGGGGTTAATCATGAGAAAGAAAAAGGAATTGGAACGAGGAACAGGGAAAAGGAAAAAAGCAGAAACCTAGAACTTGGGAAGGGAAGAATAAAAATAATAATAAAGAGGACTAAAGTAATAATAATAGTAGTAGTTTTTAAACAGACAGAAACAATCAAACTAAAAAAAGAAAAAAGAAAAAAAAAATTGGGGCAGTGTGAGGCAGGTCACCCAGGCTCTGACCGAGCACACAGACTGGGATGGAATTCCCGCTGGCCTAGAAGGTTGGTGGGAGTGAGGGATGGCTGCACTTTCATTCACCAGGAGGATGTGGGATATAAGAGTGACAAGGGGAATGTCACACCTTTCCAGTTGTCTGCATCTGGAATGTCCTTGTGGTTCCTGGCAAGTGGAGCCTGTTCTTAAGTTGCTGGACTCTGGGAGAATGTTGTCGCTTTAAATATCCAAAATGGTCAAACTGCTTGTAAACATTCAAATGGCTGCGCCCTCCGGACAGGCAAAAGTCCACAGCTCAGCTCGCCTTCTTCTTTGCTGCTTCCCCTTTTATTCACCAGCCACAAGAGCAGTTCTCCATGCAGTCCCTGGCTGGCAGGGCTGATTTTTAGGTTAATTCTTAGGTCCTACCAGCACTTGGCAATATCCAAGCTGTCTATGTCATCAGGATCACTGCCAGACCACAGCTCCATAAGTCTCGTTTTTTGGTGTTTGCATGCAAATTCTTCTGCTAGTTGGAATTTTGTTCACTTCTATATCCTTCCCTTCAAGGCTCAGGGGTCCAGGATTATCTTCTGTATCTGTGTTAATTGGTTCCCCTTTCCTTTGTTGAAGAGGGTCTGTGCAGCCTTTCTGCCTATTTTGCCATCTTACTGGAACTTGACCTAATGTTTGATTCTTATTAGAAGTTCCAGTCTGGTATTCCTGAAAATAAGTTACTCAAACCTGCTCATGACTAATGTCTAGTTCTTATCAAAATCTATTTTCTGAACAGAAACTACAGAGAAGAAACAATAAGGGCAATATGACCCACACAGAAAGAATGAGCCGACCTTGGGACCAGAGAGAATGACATTTTCAACTATCAATCAAAGAAACAAGGAACTTTGAAAAAAGGAATATGAAAGAGCCCTGACTTAGACAATCAGGGCTGCTGTTCTCTCTCAGTTACTGAGAACCAGCCTTTATGCTTCTAAGATTTTACTCTTTAAATAAACTTTTCTTTCCTTTTCCTCTGGCCTGGTTCCTCCCAACATCTTTCACCTAACCTTACAATAACATGTCTGTTCTGGTTACCTAGTACCACTATGACAAGAATATACCACAAATGGGATGGCTTGAACAAACAGGAGTTTATTCTCTTACAGTTTGGGAGGCTAGAAGTCCAAGTTCAAAGTGCCAGGCTCTAGGGGCTGGGTGATAGCCTCTCAACCTTGGGCTGCAGCTCTGCCTCCTGCTCCCAGCCCACTGAAACTAGAGGCATCTCTCCACTCAGGCAGCTACTGGCTCCTGAGGCTGACAAGCCCAAGGTTGACAAATAAAATGGCACAGTCCCAATGTTACCAAACCACATGGCAGGCCATTAATTCAAGTCCATTATAAGTCCCAAGGTTGGCAGAGCATGGCAGGCTGCTGAACAACGACACAGCTACATGCAGGGTCCAAGTGTGCCATAAGTTAGAGACCGTTCCACAAAGCTTCTCCTTATATACAGGAAGCGGACCACATCCCTAGGGTAGCTACTCAGCTGCTCACAGTAGATTCCACCATGGAGTTAATTACCAATCTCACCATAGGGAATAACTACATCCAGCTGCCCACTCAACCAGGCCTAGCCAAGTTGACATGCAAACTTAACTACCACAATGTCCAAAGTACATAAGATGAACTCTAGCCATCTTTGCTTCTAAGCATTTTGGCTGTACTTCTTCTGGCAGTCCATGGTATATTCAATATTCTTCTTCCGATATTCTTAGGACATCAAAATTCAGTCTTCACTTGGCACTGACTGTGTACTCTGTGTATGTAGAGCTAGGGCAAACACAATTCTGATGTGGCCCTGACCCTCAGCCAACAGCTTTGCGACCACAGGTAAAGACAGACTTGGGAAAGGATGAGGAGGTGGGCATAGGGTAGTCACTGGGTCCAGGGGAGGCGATAGGAGCTTTGGGGAAAAGCCTTAGGGTAAGAGCTGATACCTGTTGAGCACTTACTCTGAGCCAGGCACTGTTCTGTGTTTTGTATACATTGTCTCTTTTTACCTCACAATAGCACAATGAGTCACTATTACTATCCCCACTCCTCAGATAAAGAAACAGAGGCACAGTGAAGTTAAGTAACTTTCCCTGCATGTAGCCAACTAGGAAAGGGGACTTGAGCGGAGTCTTTTAACGATGAAGAAGGAGTGGCTGTGAAATTTTTGCTGAAGAGCAGGCAAATAAATTAATTACTGAATGCGTAAGGTATGTATGGTAAGTTGTGAGAGTAAAGTTTGTGTGTCAACTTGTCTGGGCCTGGTTGAGTGGCTGGGCAGCTGGATGTAGTTTTCTCCATGATGAGACTGATAATCAACTCCATGGTGGAATCTATTGTGAGCAGCTGAGTAGCTGCCTTAGGGATGTGGTCTGTTTCCAGTGTATAAGAAGAAGCCTTGTGGAACGGTCTCTAGCTTATGGCACGTTTGAACCCATGTAGCTGTGCCAATGTTCACCAGTAGTCTCAGCACCCAGCAGCTGAGTGAAGAAACTCCTCTACTTCAGTGGGCCAGGAGCAGGAGGCAGGGCTGAAGCCCAAGGTTGGGGGGCTTTCATCCAGCCAATAGAGCCTGGCACTTTGTACTGTAAAAGCCTCCAAACTGTAAAAGAAAACTTGTTTGTTCAACCCCACCCATTTGTGGTATATTCTTGTCAGAGCAGCAGTAGGTAACCAGAACAGAAGTCATGGGGGAGGTGGTGGCATCAAAGAAGGTTTTGTGGAAAAGATACTGGAGGTGAGTCTAAAAAGGTCAGGAGAAGGCCTAAAGCTAGTGAGCAGGCTGTAATTAGAGCCTCTGGGCTCCTCCTCTTCCTCCTAGATAGCCAGGTAAGTTCAGGGGAACATTTCACCCAGATACTGTGGCAGTACGGTTATTTACTGTTATTTGCAGCCATGGGGCAAAGTCTATGTGGGAAGAACTTTCCATTTCTGATTTTCTGAGTTCCAAAACTCTCCTGGCATGCATAGAGCAATCAGTGTGTCTGGAGCTTTCCTAGTGGAGCACAGCCATGGTGCTCTGGGGTCTGCTGCTGGGAGTTCTGCTAGCAGCTGTCATTGGATACCTGTGCCTGCCAGGGCTGTTCCGACAACGCAAGCCCCAGGAACCACCTCTGGACAAGGGCCCTGTGCCCTGGCTGGGCCATGCCATGACTTTCCGGAAAAATATGTTTGAATTCTTGAAAGGCATGTGGGCCAAGCATGGGGATGTGTTCACTGTGCAGCTAGGTGGTGAGTACTTCACCTTTGTCATGGACCCTTTATCCTTCGGTCCCATCCTCAAGGATGCACAGAGAAAACTGGACTTTGTGGAGTATGCAAAAGAACTAGTGCTAAAGGTATTTGGATACCAATCAGTACATGGGGACCACCAGATGATACATTCAGCCAGCACTAAGTACCTCATGGGGGTTGGCTTGGAGGATCTCAACAAAGCCATGCTGGACAGCCTGTCCTTGGTAATGCTGGGGTTGAATGGATGTAGTCCAGATGCCAGTTGCTGGTGTGAGGATGGCCTCTTTCACTTCTGCTACAACACCGTGTTCAAAGCTGGCTACTTGAGCTTGTTTGGCCATACTGAGGACAAGGAACAGGACCTGCTACAGGCAGAGCAGCTATTTGTGGAATTTTCCAAGTTTGACCTCCTGTTTCCTAGGTTTGTCTACTCCCTCCTAGGGCCCCGGGAGTGGCTAGAAGTGGGCCGGCTCCAGCGTTTCTTCCACAATGTGCTCTCTGTGAAAGACAACCTGAAGAAGGATGGCCTAAGCAATTGGCTATACCATATGCTTCAGTTTCTCAGGGAGAAGGAAGTAGCCCCGGCCATGCAGGACAAGTTCAACTTCATGATGCTCTGGGCCTCCCAGGGGAACACTGGGCCTACCTCTTTCTGGGCCCTCTTGTTCCTCCTGAAGCACCCAGAAGCCATGCAGGCTGTGAAGAAGGAAGCCACCAAGGTCGTGGGTAAGACCAGGCTGGAGGCTAGGCGGTCCTTCAGCTGTGACCTCAGCATTCTGAAATGCACCCCAGTGCTGGACAGTGTGATGGAGGAGTCGCTTCGCCTGAGGGCTTCACCCACTCTCCTCAGGGTGGTACAGGGGGACTATAGCCTGAAGATGGCCAATGGGCAGGAGTACCAGCTCCGCCATGGAGACAAAGTGGCCCTCTTCCCCTACCTCTCAGTGCACATGGACCCTGACATCCACCCTGAGCCCACTGCCTTCAAGTACGATCGCTTCCTCAACCCAGATGGCAGCCGAAAAGTGGACTTCTACAAGGGAGGAAAGAAGATTCACCACTACAACATGCCTTGGGGCTCAGGTGTCTCCATCTGCCCTGGGAGGTTCTTCGCCCTTAGTGAAATGAAGATCTTCATCCTGCTTATGGTCTCATACTTTGATCTGGAGCTGGTAGACCCTGACACACTTGTGCCACCTGTGAATCCCTGGCGCTGGGGTTTTGGCACCACACAACCCACCCATGATGTGCGCTTCCGCTACCGCCTACGTCCTGCTGAGTGAGCTGGCCACAGAGCCTCCCATGGGATTTCCCACCTCATCTAGCTCACCACTCTGCAGCCCCAGGCCTCAATGAGGAACCCTCTCTCTGGTTCTGTGGCACCCCTACTTCTGTCCTGGTTGTCTTCCTCTTTCTTCTCTGGCCTCCTAGTCATCTCACATGCTTACTGTTCTCCCTTTAAGATCCCTTCTTTCACAGAATCTTCCTCTCACAGTTGGAGGGGGAGTATCTGTGGGCTAACCCATTTGGGAGCTGATGCCTGAAGTTGTGAGTAACACAGCATTTCTCAAACATTAGCCTCTGCCACCCTCCACTCTGCTTGTTTGTCCCCTACAAAATTATTCCATGTCCTGTGGCATTCCTGTTCTAGAACAGTGCTATCAAATAGAAATGTAAGGCAAGCCATGTGTGCAATCTTAAATTTCCTAGTAAAATAAAAAGGAATAGATGAAATTCATTTCTATAATATATTTTATTTAACCCCGTGTGTCCAAACTATTAGCAGTTCAACATGTAATCAACATTAAAAAATGACGTTTTCACCTCCCTTTTTTAATACTGTTTTCAAAATCTGGTGCGTACTTTACATTTCCAGCACTTCTCAGTTCAGACGAACCACATTCCAAGAGCTTGCTTGTCACGTGTGGCTGGTGGCTACCATGATGGAAAGCAATCTAGAGAAATGCTGGCTTTGATGTAGGAGATAGTCCAGGTCTTCCTCAGTGCTCTCATCTCCTCTCTGCATCTCCACTTCAGGGTGGTCTCGACCCCTTCCTTGGTTTCATCAACCATGGCTAAGCTCAGCGCTCACTCCTAGCCCCAGACCCCCAATCCTCCCGTAGCACCTTTGACGCAGCTCGGCCCATGCAGAACTCAGCATCTGTCGCCAAAACTCTGCTCTGACTAGCCCCCTCTCCTGATTTCCTTTCCTCTCTGCTCAAGACACTTCTAGCTACTCTATCTCCCATGGTAGATACCTAGGAGACACCCTCACCTCCCTCTCTCTCTCCCACACACAATCAAATGCCCAGTCCTATCTGCTCAGCCCTCTGTGATGCCTCTGTAATGTGTCCCCATGCCCACTACCATTCTGAGCGCTCCACATTTCTCTCCACACCAGCTACTGGATAGTTCCTCTGCTCCACCTCTAGCCCGCTGCTTTTTCCAAAAGTACCTCTGATTGTCATTCTTTTACTTTTTTTTTTTTTTTT